GTCATTTGCAAATATCTTCTCCCATTCTGTCGGTTGTCTTTTAGTTTTGCTGATTGTTTCCTTTGCTGTGCAGAAGCTTTTTATCTTGATGAGGTCCCAGAAGTTCATTTTTGCTTTTGTTTCCCTTGCCTCCGGAGATGTGTTGAGTAAGAAGTTGCTACGGCTGGGGCGCCTCGGTGGCACAGTCGGTTGAGCGTCCGACTTCAGCCAGGTCACGATCTCACGGTCCGTGAGTTCGAGCCCCGCGTCAGGCTCTGGGCTGATGCCTCGGAGCCTGGAGCCTGTTTCCGATTCTGTGTCTCCCTCTCTCTCTGCCCCTCCCCGTTCATGCTCTGTCTCTCTGTGTCCCAAAAATAAATAAACGTTGAAAAAAAAATTTTAAAAAAGAAGTTGCTACGGCTGACATCATAGAGGATTTTGCCTGCTTTCTCCTCTAGGATTTTGATAGCTTCCTGTCTTGTGTTTAGGTCTTTCATCCATTTTGAGTTTCTTTTTGTGTATGGTGTAAGAGAGTGGTCCAGGTTCATTTTTCTGTGTGTTGCTGTCCAGTTTTCCCAGCACCATTTGCTGAAGAGACTGTCTTTATTCCCTTGGATATTCTTTCCTGCTTTGTCAAAGATTAGTTGGCCATACGTTTGTGGGTCCATTTCTGGGTTCTCTATTCTGTTCCATTGATCTGAGTGTTCTTGTGTCAGTACCATACTGTCTTGATGATTACAGCTTTGTAATTCAGCTTGAAGTCCGGGATTGTGATGCCTCCAGCTTTGGTGTTCTTTTTCAAGATTGCTGTGGCTACTTGGGGTCTTTTCTGGTTTCATACAAATTTTAGGATTGTTTGTTCTAGCTGTGAAGAGTGCTGGTGTTATTTTGATAGGGATTGCTTAAGTTTTTATTTTAATTCCAGTTAGTTAACATACAGTGTTACATTAATTTCAGTTGTAAAATATAGTGGTTCAACAATTCCATACAACACCCGGTGCTCATCATGACAGGTGTTTTTCTCAAAATCCCCATCACCTATTTCATCCATCTCCCCACCCAGGAAGGGCAATTTTATTTTTTTATTTATATTTTTTGGGAGAAGGGCAATTTTAAAAGGTTAGTCTTAGCCTTGGCTAAGAGCCACTGCTTTTTAAATTTTTCACTGAATCCTGTTTTTTCTCTTACCTTCCAAATATGAGTGTTTCCCTAAGATTTTTATCTCTTATCATTCTCACAAGTTAGTTCTTACCCATGTGCTTTGCTATCTTCTCTTGATCTCTTGATGTTGTTCTTTTTTTTTTTTTTTCGTTTTATTTATTTTTGGGACAGAGAGAGACAGAGCATGAATGGGGGAGGGGCAGAGAGAGAGGGAGACACAGAATCGGAAACAGGCTCCAGGCTCTGAGCCATCAGCCCAGAGCCCGACGCGGGGCTCGAACCCACGGACCGCGAGATCGTGACCTGGCTGAAGTCGGACGCTTAACCGACTGCGCCACCCAGGCGCCCCTTGATGTTGTTCTTTTAGGCATTTTTAGTTGGATATCTCACTGTCACTTCAGCTTAACATAACCAAAACTGGAATTAAAAAAAAATTTTTTTTGTAATGTTTATTTCTGAGACAGAGAGAGACAGAACATGAGCGGGGGAGGGACAGAGAGAGAGGGAGACACAGAATCAGAAGCAGGCTCCAGGCTCTGAGCTGTTAGCACAGAGCCCAACGCGGGGTTTGAACTCACAAACCGTGAGATCATGACCTGAGCCGAAGTCGGAGCTCAACTGACTGAGCCACCCAGGCGCCCCAAAAACTGGAATTTTTTTAACAGTAAAATTCCTTTTTAAATCCACAGTTGCAAATCTTGTTACCATTTTCTTCCAGAAAGCCTCATATGTTCATCTTTTCCCTGTTTTCATTGCGACAACCCAGTCAAGGGCCATAGTACTTCATGACTAGGTCCTGACTCATCTCTAAGGCTCTAGGTGGTCTCTGGTCCATTTCATCCTGCATGTTGTGCTAGACTTGTAAAGTCCTTTAGTGCCACTCTGAAGGCATCCCTCCCCTGCTTAAAAACATTATTTTTGTTTTCCTTTATTTTCCTTTATTTTACTTTTTGTTTTTCTTTTCACACCTTTAAATTCCTCATCTCTTAGCACTGGGTGTTGTATGGAAACCAATTTGACAATACATTTCATAAAAAAAATAATTAAAGATAAATTCCTCATCTCTTACTATTTCTCAAACTTCCTCCACTTAAGTGTAGTTAGCTTTCTTGCAGACGTATACAATATGCTCACTCACTTTCTGTGCCTCACTCATTCTCCCTTCTGAGTCTGAGCTCCCGTTTGTTTCGTCAGGAATTCCCTACCCTCCACCCTCTATGCTTATCCAGAATTCATCTCTTGACATTCTTCCATTTATACCTTGCACTCAGGCCATGATTAGCTGTTTTTAGGTCCCTGGACAATGCCTCACTTACCATCCTCACCTCAGTCTGTTTGCCAATATGACCCTACAACTCCTGACTTACCCCATTCTTTAAAAACCCATCACAAGTGTTAACTTCGGTGGGACAAGCCTCCACTTATCTTATCACCTGAGAAGAGTTAAGCATCCAATGTGTCTCACGGCAGCCTGCACTTACCTCAGTTATATGTTATGTTTTCTTATTTACTTATATGTCTGTCTCCCATATTAGTCTCTACATTGTTTTGAGGTTATGAAGACATTAGGTCTTACTCATCTTTTAGTATTTCTCAATAAACACTTGAGTACTGAGTGAATGAATCAATGAACTTGGGCTGATTGGAAAGCTTTTCCTTAGCTGCTTAGAATCACTAAAAATTGACAAAAGCATATTACATTTAGGACAGTGTTTTCAAACTTTTAGCAGTGAGGTCCTGTTTCCAATAAATCTTATGCAGAAGTTGAATAAATAAAACAGATAATACAAAGTGGAAAGTATAAGCTAGAAGTGGTATGTGATTGTGTTTCTGTGTAGTGAGGAAACTGACAAGGTCAAGCAGATAGAGCTCAATTTAAAAAATTTCATATTTTATAATGATAAAATCTTACTTGTGTGCCTGTTTTGTTTTTTATAAGAGGCCAGCATTATCAGTCTTGCCCATACTAGAATTGATAATTTCTTTCTCTTTTAAAGTTTATTTATTTATTTTGAGAGAGAGAGTGAGTGAGCAGGGGCGGGGCAGAGAGAGAGAGAGAGAGAGGGAGAGCGAGAATCCCAAGCAGGCTCTGCACTGTCAGCATAGAGCCCAACATGGGGTTTGAACTCACAAACCATGAGATCATGACTTGAGCTGAAATCAAGAGTCAGACACTTAACTGACTGAGCCACCTAGGAGTCCCAGAATTGATCATTTCTAAGTCTGAAAAATTAGGTTCTCCTGATGGAGGAGGCTTCTCTGACCAATAGTCTTTAGACTGGACCTATTTATAGGGCCTCTCTGTGATTACAGTTACCTGTCAAACAAGAAGACTATTTTTGTTATGCAAGCCCTCACACAGTCTTTAGATGGTAATTTAAAAAACATGGCCCCACATGGGGCTCCTCTATGGCTCAGTCGGTTGAGCGTCTGACTTCAGCTCAAGTCATGATCTCACAGTTCATGAGTTCGAACCCCATGTAGGGCTCCCTGTGTGTAGGGCTCTCTGTTGTCAGTGTAGCCCGCTTTGGATCCTCTGTTCCCCTGCCCCCACCCCTTCCCTGCTCGTGCGTTCATGCTCTCGCTCGCTCTCTCTCTCTCTCAAATAAACATTTTAAAAAAAGAAAACATGTCCCCACAAAAATTTGTACATTAACCTTCATGAAATAACTTCATAATAGCTAATGGGTAGAAACAACCCAGATATCCATCAACTAATGAATGGATAAATACAATGTGGTATATTTCCATATAGTGCAGGATATTAATTGGCAAGAAACGGGAAAGAATACTACATTCATTACTACAGTACTGATGAATCTTGAAAGCATTGTGCTAAATGAAAGAAACCAGTCACAAAAGATTATGTACTGGATTAGTCCATTCATATGAAATATCTAGAATAGGCACACATATAAAGATAGAAAATAGATAAATGGTTGCATAGGGCTGGAAGGCAATGAAGAATGATTGTTAACAGGTATGAATTTTATTTTGGGTATGATGAAAATGTTCTAAAATTGTGATGGTTGTACAACTCTAACAAAATAAAAATCATTTTAATTGTACACTTTATTTCTTTTTAATTGTACACTTCAGATGGGTCTTTTGTATGTGAGTTAGATCTCAGAGTTGTTAAAGATGTATTGAGCAGTCTTTTAATGTGGCTTGTAAAGTAGTCTGATGTCACAGGGTTATAGCTTTAGGCAGCTCCTGGTAAGTAAAATATTCGTGAATATTGTACCAATTTCTTTCCCTTTTTTGCCCCCTCCTACTTGGGCATTTTTACTGGAAGGGAGGTCAAAGAAAGAATGAAAATAATCCAGTTAGCAATACTTAGCCAATTATCAGTAGCTGCCCCCAAAGTTTTTAAGTTGAGAAGAAGAGTTTTTCCCTGAAAGGACATTTGTGAGTTTTGATATTTGTTAATTAGGTTAGTTTATATTTGTTGATAGTTTTCTCATTTCACCAGACTACTGTGTTGGCCTTCTGTGTAATGTTCTCCTAGACTTATCAGATATGTGTAAAGGATAGGTAATTTTGTTGATCTCAGTAGACTTTGTGTGTCCATAGCTGACACACAATGATCCATTAGTTTCAGGTTTACAGTGTATCATAAGCAGTATAGTCAATGGTATTGTAATAGTGTCACATGGAGACTGTCCTAGAGAATACAGTGCTAATGTTAAATTAATCAAGTTTAAAGTTGGGAGGTTTGGACATTTTTTTTAGTTTACTGAATACCAGCAATACTAAATTTTGTGAAACTTAAAATTGAAACAGCTTGCTGTTGCCCTTTGGTTTACAGAGTATTTGGGGTTGATGTCATTAATGATTTTTAATTTCTCTTTTTCTAATAGGTCACTACTGTTTTTAATGAAGTCACATCATCTTTTGATTTAAATCCTCAAGTGTTACAGCAGTTAGATAGTAAACGACAGCAGGTCCAAATGACAGTTACAGAGACCAACCAGGAGTGGCAAGTGTTGCAATTGAGAGTGCATACTTTTGCTGCGTGTGCAGTTGTGAGTTTGCAGCAGCTTCCGGAGAAGTTAAATCCTATCATAAAACCATTAATGGAAACAATTAAAAAAGAAGAGAATACACTGGTGCAAAACTATGCAGCTCAGTGCATAGCAAAACTCCTTCAGCAGTGCACAACAAGGACACCCTGCCCCAATTCAAAAATTATTAAAAACCTCTGTAGCTCACTTTGTGTGGACCCATATCTAACTCCTTGTGTCACATGTCCAGTACCAACACAGAGTGGCCAAGACAATTCTAAAGGTATATGTCTGAACCTTCATTTGGGATAGAGAATTAACCATTTACATCTGTTTTCATTGACTTGTAGGTATCATTTAAGCACAAATCCAGTTTATGTGAGAGCTTTTTCCCATTTTGTATATATTGGTAATAAATATAAATATATAATATATATAAAAATATATATATATATTCCTCTAAACTCAAACAAGGTATTCATAAAAGACCTAAAAAAACCCCTGATATTTCATATAAGATGACTGAAATCTGTGAGACAGGTGTTAACCCTTAATCTCTCTTTCAAGAACATCATTATAGGATTTTACTATTAATGAGGCTAGAAACGTAATTGTATCAAATGTTGAATACAAATTCTTCTATAAAACTCTTGTTTCTCTATTTTAGTGCATGCTTTGTAAGATAAGTGAACTCTGTTACCTTTAGTAAATAATGTGTAGCCATTCTGATTTCATCCGGAAAATAAGAATTGCTTTCTATAGTATCAAGGACCAATGTTTCTTTCCATGCCTTAGTCCAATATGATTTACTTATTTTTGTTAGTAGGATTTTGGAAAAGCAAGTTATTCAAAATGTAATAAATTTACAACTTTAGTATGGTATATGTATTGAAAAATATGTGAACAAACTGGAAGAGGAAAGTTGCATTTTGAATATTAACATCTTAAAACTATAATAGGGTGACAGTCTTTCCCCAGCCCCACTCCTGTCACCCCCTTATGCTATTTGAGCCAGTAATATTTTGCAGTGGTCGATGTCTCTGAATTTATGGTGACTATGGACATTTCTTTTAGAGAGAACAGACATTTCTTGCAATGTTTTTAATTTTCTTTTTATGCCTAGAAGCAGTCGTTGATTTTTTAAAAATTAATATACTTTAACTGAAGGCCCCAAATCATTCTTGTGTGTTCTATTTCTTGTTAACATGATTCTACAACTTTGTATTAAGTATAGTCTTATGCAAATATCAAAACAATTAATGTTACAAATTATTGACTGTTCTGCTACCATTTCATTGTCTAAAGAAAATGTCATTGGCTTTTAGAAATTGAGGCTTAAAAGACATAGTTTTAAAAATATGTTGTATCTCTTTTGGAGCAGGAAGCGTTTGGTCACCTATATTATCCTTAAAAAGTTATTTAACTTTTTTCCTTTTAGGATCCAACTCTGAAAAAGATGGGATGCACCATACGGTCACCAAGCACCGAGGTATAATTACACTCTACAGGCATCAGAAAGCTGCTTTTGCTATCACAAGTAGGCGAGGTCCTACCCCCAAAGCAGTAAAAGCTCAAATAGCTGATCTTCCTGCAGGAAGTAGTGGAAACATCCTTGTTGAACTTGATGAGGTAAATAGGTGTTTTGTTTTTGACTACACTGATTATTAAACAGATATCTTACAGATTGAGAGCTAAATTGTCATATGAGCCTCCAGTATTGTATTTTTATATTTTTCAAAGTGAAAGAACTGGAATTAATAATCTTTCATAGTAGTTTCACAACATGATCCAGAAAAACTGCAAGCTTCTTTACAAATTTCTGTTGATACTTAATTTATAAGTGTCAAATAATTATTGCCTGCTTGACTTTTAGTCAGCGTGGAATTTACAGTGTGTGATGTGAGGTAGGGATCTAAATTTATTTTTCCACATGAACAGCCAGTTATCACATTACTGAATCCTTCTCTCCCTGATTTATAATGGCACCTTTGTTGTAGCTCATGCTTCATGTATGTGAATATCTATTTGGCTTTCTTTTCTGTTTGGTCTACTTGTTCTACAGTATTATCTTCTTTAAAGATAACTTAAAAAGTGTTTGGTTTTTGAAATTTTTGCAGTTCCATTATTAACAGTGAAATGAATGTTCTAGGTAGCTCTTTAGGTTGCATGACCTAGAAACTTACCTGAGTTCAGCAATAAATTATCAAAGCTAAAAGACATGTGTTTAATATATTTCTGTAACATACAGACCTATTTTAAGTTTCCTTTTTAAATTAAAATCTTATTACCTGTATTTGTTTTAAAATCTTCTATCAGTGATTTTTCAACTATCCTATTCATTACATAATTTTAATAAAAAATTTACTGTGACTTTGATATTTATATCTCTATGGCTTGCATAGTTCTTCCTTTAGTTAAAAATAATTGTAAAAATATATGCCTCTTTTGGGGAGGCAGGGTTTTTTTTTTTTTTGTATTATATTGAAATTATTGCTGAGTAAGAGGCAACTAATCTTGTGATTAGATAAAACAGATGCTCTTATAGGATCCCTTAAGTGAATATAAATATAAGGACAGATCATCTTCTCTCCTTATCTTCTAACTGCTAAGTTTCTTTGGGAAGGGAGAAGAACTAAAGAACATGTCACTTAGGACTATCTCTATAAACAGCACATATTCTTTATTTCCAGCTCCAAAGAATTATTTTACTTTGGATATAAAACTCTAGTTTGGGGTTTTATGTTCATGTAAATTTAATTGTTGAAAGGTGTTTATAGTGATAAATATGTTTATAATGATAAATATGTTTAGTTGCTTAATTGGTTAAATTCTCTTAATAGAATTTCAAATGCATTATAGTTTTTTCCAAAATTCTCTTTTCAACTAACATTTCATATTAGGCCCAGAAGCCTTACCTGGTTCAGCGGAGAGGAGCTGAATTTGCCTTGACAACTATAGTGAAGCATTTTGGTGGTGAAATGGCAGTGAAGTTGCCACATCTCTGGGATGCTATGGTTGGACCATTGAGGAATACAATCAACATTAATAATTTTGGTGTGTACGTTTTTCTGAGTTGGACTTTGTAAAATTATTTGCAAGGTGATACACACTTAAATCAATATATTTTAATAGATGGAAAGTCCCTCTTGGAAAAGGGAGATGGTCCTGCCCAAGAATTGGTGAATTCTCTGCAAGTTTTTGAAACCGCAGCAGCATCAATGGATTCTGAGCTTCATCCCTTGGTAACTAACTACTGCAAGTGTAGTTTTTTTCTAATAAAACAAATGGTTTTATTAAAAAGTCTTAAGGCTTAAAAAATGTAACTTTGATGTCATCCCTAGTAATTGCATTTTCTTTTATGTGTTATAACTAGATTCCTTCTTTATTGACAGCACATTTCTTTTTTTTTTTTTATATATATATGAAATTTATTGTCAAATTAGTTTCCATACAACACCCAGTGCTCATCCCAAAAGATTCCCTCTTCAATGCCCATCACCCACACACCCCTCCCTCCCACCCCCCATCAACCCTCAGTTTGTTCTCAGTTTTTAAGAGTCTCTTATGCTTTGGCTCTCTCTCCCACTCTAACCTCTTTTTTTTTCTTTTTTTTCCTTCTCCTCCCCCATGGGTTTCTGTTAAGTTTCTCAGGATCCACATAAGAGGACAGCACATTTCTTAAGGGCTTCGAGTCAGAGCTGGGTGCACAGACGTTAAAGAAAACCCACTTTGGGAGCTTTGAATACAGAGCAGTGGGAATAGGGCTCTGATGACACAGAAGCCAGGTGTAAACAGAAAGGAAGTTATGGCCCTATTAATTTATGCCATGTTAATAATATAACTCTAATTAACAGGTGATAAAAATTCTAAGTATAAAGGTAGAAGGAAGTTACCTGCCTGAGATAAAGCTAGTCAGTGGCAAAGAAAGAACACTGGTTTGTAGACTATTGTATATTAAAATGAATATTTCTTACAAAAAAAAATTGTGGCAGGAGAAAAATAGAATAGAGAATTAAATGTCTGTTTTTTCCATAGAAGAAAACCGTATTCTTTCCATGTAACTGCAGTGGGAAGCTCTGCAGTATATAGCATTGTTAAGTGCGCTAGCTCCTGTTCTTTATTCATGTTAACAGAAAAGGGAGAATCTAGGAGAGAGAGAAGAACGAATCTTTTCTATTTGTATAGTAATGAACTTCTGTCTTTTTCATGTTAAATTTTGTTGATTTATCATTAGTAGAGAAGGGCAGAATCTGTATGCTCTCACCCTTCTATGATCAGCTTAACAGTCATCAGAGCTGTAAGGCTAGTCTGTTGAGCCTGTACCTGGCTCTTAATCAACATAAATCCTGGTGTTCCATGCAGTAGGCTTTCATTAATGAGATATATCATGCTACTGTGATCATAATGCCTGTGGTAAGCCAGGAAGTTAAAGTGGAAAGTACTTACCAAAGGATGGTGCCTAGAACGAGTTCAGGATCACTCAACTCAGTGAATAGGAAGTACGTATTTAGGGGTGCCAGGCTAGCTCAGTTGGTAGAGCATGTGACTCTTGATCTCAGGGTCATGAGTTCAAGCCCCATATTGGGCATGAAGCTTACTTAAAACAAACAAACAAAAAAGTAAGTACTTAAACCTAAGCCAGAGCTACCAAATTGGGAGGGGACTGGTGATGTGTGGTATCATTTCCCCTCCCAAGGGGAGAATCTTAGAGCCTTTTGATGTGAACCCTGCTGCCTTAAGGGAAGAAAATGAAGAGTGAAGTTCTGCACCTTTTCTTTTTTTAGAGAGAGGGAGAGCAAGTGCGAGCGGGGGAGAGAGGCAGAGGGAGAGAGAAAGAGAATCTTTTTTTTTAATGTTTATTTTTGAGAAAGAGAGAGAGTGTGAGTGGGAGAGGGACAGAGAGAGAGAGGGAGATAGGATCTGAAGCAGGCTCCATGCTGACAGCAGAGAGCCCCATGTGGGGTTCGAACTCATGAACTGTGAGATCATGACCTGAGGTGGAGTCAGACGCTCAACTGACTGAGCCACCCAGACGCCCCCTGCACCTGTCTTTTAAGAAGAGTTTTAATATATTAATTTAGATTTAGATTAATTTTTTATCGAAGATGTTTTGACAATAATGTTTGAGGTAATTGGAGATACTCTTGGATTTAGAGCCATTTAGAATATTGAGAACCTCTGAGTATGGGCTATTATAGGTATATTTTAAACACCCCCTAATGAATATTCTGATTGTCTTAAACTTTTTGTTTTTAGTTGGTACAGCATTTGCCTCATCTTTATATGTGCCTTCAATACCCCAGCACTGCAGTGAGGCACATGGCTGCTCGTTGTGTAGGCATTATGAGCAAAATAGCTACCATGGAAACCATGAATATTTTTTTGGAGAAGGTTCTTCCATGGCTGGGGGCAATTGATGACAATATCAAACAAGAGGGTGCAATTGAAGCACTTGCATGTATCCTTTTTTAATTTGACAAATGTTAGAAATTATATTCATTTTATTTAAGGATGACTGAAATAAAATTGACTTATTAAAGTATGTTCATAAATAACCTGTGTTGTTCCCAAAAGAAAACTGCTTTGTTACATTTCATATGAAAGTATCTTTATATTGTATTATAAATACATTACAAATATATTTACATTTTATTATGAAAATTTTCACACAGAATGTTTGAAGAGTTACTATTTTAAGAGATCTTTTTAATAGGCAAAAATAATTGTATATACTTATGAAACATATTTCTAGTAACCGATCTACTGGTTTATAATTAGTGTCTTATTAATACTAATTAGGTACTGTGTATGTAGTCTGTATATTATAAATATGTTTTCAAAGTTCATTATGTGGGTGGAAAATGACTACTAAATAACTGGAAATACATAAGCAAGCTTTTTGCTATTGGTACAGCATCCATTGATGTTCTTTAACTCGAAGTATCTGAAAGATATTTCTAAGAGCAAGAAAGATGGATGGAGATCAAATCAATAGAAACTCTGGTTCAGAAATGCTGAAGATTGCAGGAGGACTGAACTTACTGGGCCCTGCTATGTCCAGTTATGATTGTCAAGATCCTGGTGGGAAATTTGGAATTAATCTTTGAGTGACATTGAATTGTGCTCCCTTGCTGGCAATGTAACTCACTTTATTTTGGTGTTGGAATTTTAGAAACTTGAAAGAATTTTTCTATGAGAAAAACCTGATTGAAACCTCTAGCATTTCTCAGATGATAAACAATTTTATAGTCCTAAGAGAAAGTTAAATGATGTTTACAAAAGAGCAACAGTGTACAAATGCTGTTATAATTGAATCAAGGATCTTGAGGGAGTCTATTCCCTCATGATATAGATGAGAAAGTGAGGAAGCATGTTACAAGTTACAATCTTGGTGTATCAACTTGAAAATAATTACCTCAGAATAGCTTGAAAATTTCCTTAATAACTTATTCAGGTGTAATGGAACAGCTGGATGTTGGTATTGTTCCGTATATTGTCCTTTTAGTTGTGCCTGTGTTGGGAAGAATGAGTGATCAGACAGACAGTGTAAGATTCATGGCTACACAGTGCTTTGCAACACTAATTAGACTCATGCCACTTGAGGTAAGTTGAAGATACTCAGTTTATGGACTTCATGTTTTCTATATTTTCATTTGTAATAATTGTAACTCTCTTAAAACAATGTCAGGTTAAAAACAGACCTCTGGAGTATGTTCACATTACAAGCATTAAAAATTTTGGGGCGCCTGGGTGGCACAGTCGGTTAAGCGTCCGACTTCAGCCAGGTCACGATCTCGCGGTCCGTGAGTTCGAGCCCCGCGTCGGGCTCTGGGCTGATGGCTCAGAGCCTGGAGCCTGTTTCCGATTCTGTGTCTCCCTCTCTCTCTGCCCCTCCCCCGTTCATGCTCTGTCTCTCTCTGTCCCAAAAATAAATAAACGTTGAAAAAAAAATTTTTAAAAAAAAAATTTTTTTTTTACCTTAATGGGTATTTTTTTAACACAGGGTTTTAAGTAAAACTGTGGTTTCTAAAAGAATGTTTACTCATTGATGCAATTCTAG